TTTATATCCGACGGTTAGTGCCTGGGACTAAGTTGAATTGCTTTGTATAGAGTCTAAATGGCTATTTAGTTTGCTAACATAGTACATATGGACATAGTAAGAGGTATATCTAAGATAATAATTTTCGTAACAAAAGTACATTTAAACCTTTATAAATTAATACAGTAAAATTTTATTAATTTAGTGAAATATTAAATTATTAAATTAATAATTTAATAGGTTTTACTGAATCTGGACAAAAAAAAAAAAAAACTATTAAATATAATTAGATTATTAATTTATCGAGTTTTTAGTGTATTTGAATTTTTTTTACACTCAAGTGATTCTTTTATTATTTTTATTGTATATAATATAATGATGATTGTCCATGATTATTATATACTTGTGCTGCGTTTGTTCTTTCAAGATAAGATTATCCAAAGTTAGTGTATGCAGTTTTATGTATAACTTTGAGTATGCGAAGTTCGATACACAATCTCACTCTATAAACCAAGATTATAGATTAGTGGTTAATTTTTCAAGAATTGTGATCTGATTGGAAAAGTTATTCCACTAACCAAACAACAAATAAAACATAATAATTGAATTGATTATGACTTAAATCATCAATTAAACGAGACTTGATTGATTAGGAAGTCTGAATCACTGGAAGTTTCTATTTTCAAATAGATTTACACCATTAAAGTTGCAACAACAGAACCTAGTTTTTATAGCCTAATATAATATTGTAGATAAATATTATTGTTGTTTTTATATTTTTTTTCTTCTGAAAATAGAAGGTTTTAATAAGATTTATTTCGAAATCAAACAATGTTCGAATATTTTTTTAATTACTAATAGAGTTACTTGGTGATAGAAGTACTATTTGAACATTTGTTTAATATATATATATATATATATATATATATATATATATATATATATATATATATATTCTTTTTTTATTATATGATGATTGTCCATGAAATAAGTGAAATAAGACCTAATTATTGAATTGATTTTGACTAATATCATCAATGAAATGAGACCTTGATTGATTATGAAGTGTGAATGCTAGAAGTTTCTAGTTCTCTTATTTTTGTGAGAAGACCACACTAAACTCTCACTTGGCCAAGTAAAAAAGAAAAAAAAAAACAAGTACTCTATTAAGTTTAATAAATAATTAGATGTAACATCTAACTCCCCCGCAATATATGTTGAGTATGTCTAAAAACAGTTATACCGTGGACATTAGTTAAATCGGTTTAAAATTATCTAAACAACCAAAAATAGGTATAATTGATGAAAATGGTATGTTTGATATAGCAAAAATGTTTTAAATCGGTCAAAAATTGGAGAAATCGATGAAGTGAAAAACAGGTAAAATCGGCTACAAATAGGTGAATTGTGTCGAAAATGAATCAAATTGGTGAAATAAAAACATGAAAAATTAATCAAAATGAGTTAAAATGAGTTAAGCGTTAAATGAGTTGAAAATTATTAAAATAAAATATTTTATCAAGATCAATAAAATAAAATAAAAAATTCGAAACGAGTTAAACTTAAACCAACACAGACATAATAAATCTAAAATTGACCTTACCCAAATCCGTCCAATATGGGTTGAGTCCAAAACCCACCAACCCGGACCCATTTTCATTTAGAATCATAACTTTATTTTATTTTATTTTCTGTTAAAAAAAAACTTTATTTAATTTATTTATACATTTATTTTAAAAGGAAAATGAAAAGTTAGAAAAGCTCACAAATATTGTAGCTGGAGCCAAATTTACCCAATTTAAATATGACATGTACCCACCCACCACCATAACAATAATAATTGCCTTTTGTGGCATTTGTCCACTTCATAGGGCCATGCTCTTTGGATTATGTATTTTCAAATATATTTATTTATTTAATTTAATTTATTTTTGCAGAATTAGGGGAAATGTTACAATCAAATGGTCCACCAACTCCAAGATTCTTCACATCATCCTTCAATTAGAAGGGATTTTTAGAGAGATATTGGCAATGTTTGGTTTCGTTGCGTTTCCGTTCCGTTTTCATTCATTCCCGGAAAACGAATTCTTGTTTGTTAAGATTTTCAATAATAATTCCCATAACTATGTCGAAAGCTTCTATCTACTCCATGTATGATTTAACTGTTACAGTAAAACAAATATATTTTCAGTAAAAATCAAACAAATATCAATTTACTTTTGAAAACAAAACAATTTCGAACATTGCCAATAATTCTATGAAATATGTTTGCCATCATAAAATATTTACAACGCAAACCGTAAAAAATATTTTTCGACAACTCAACATTTTTCGTCACCTAATATATATATTCTTGTCGTATAAAATGAAGTGATTTCTCGCAATGGATAGGACATCAATATAACATTTTTCGACAAGATAAACGGAAACCCTAAAATTATTTTTCGACAATTTGACATTTTTCGTCACCTAACATATTATTGTCACAATAAAATGGATTGTATTATCGCAATGGATAGCGCATCAATAATTTGGACAATTTTAATTTGAGGTAGTCACACCTTATAATCTCCTTAAAAATGGTGGGGTTTGTCATTTTGTTGTCATTTTTTTTCTGTCTTATTTTGTCTAAATTTTGCTTATTAATGGAAGTGGGACATTGTGCTTCACTGGTTGCACTTCTTTGTTAGGCTGGCTGTACATGGTAGGTAGTTATTCTCCTTTCATCATCAATATATTTGCTATTAAAAAAAATAAAAATAGTATTCTTAGTTTATTTCTATATTTCATAAAAGTCATAAAGTATTAATTCAAATTAAGGAAATTATTTGAGGATAAAAAGGTTTAATCCCACTTTGTGCCATCGAAAAAAATTATTAGCACTTTGCACCTTCAAAACACAATAAATCATGCATAATGTGGATTTTTAAAGCTAATGAAGACAATTTAATATTTTTAGGCAATGTTATCAGAACCGAACTGACTATGGAACCGGACGACCATTTGGGTCATGGTTTTATAGGGTCGAACCGGTTCAACCGGTTTTTTTTTTTTTTTTTTTTTTTTTTTTTTTAATATATATTATTAATTTTAATATTTTAAAAATATTATTTTCTTTACATTTTTAATCTTCCACCTAGCTATTATTTTCAATTTTACAAATCTCACACCACTTTTTACTATATTTTTTTTGTTTATACTCTATATTTTTCCATTCTTTATTCTTTTAATGCGGCAATTGACCACCACTATTCGATCACCCATGACTGAATCCGGCAATTCTTCGAGCACTAATGACTAGATCCTGCCACCCATCACTAAGTCGGTGAAGGTTCGCTCAAATCTAGTCATAAATAACCAACTTAGCGGTGGTTTGAGATATTTTGGTCGAAAACCAGATTTTTTGACTGACTCGCCGGTTCTTGGGTTTCACCCGGTCGAACCGGATTTTGGTCATTTGATTCCGGTTTTCATTTTTTCCGGTTTTAGAGGTCAGACCGGACCGCTTTGAGGCCAGATCACGGTCGAACCGGTCCGACCGGCCGGTTCGGTCCGATTCTAACAACATTGTTTTTAGTATACCAAATGTCAAATCATTTTTTTTTTATTCATCAATACATT